AGGGTTATCCGAGAAGCAGGCAAGAACATTTTCTCGTAGATATATTAACAAGTTGATATCATTTCGTTTTCGTGGAAATGTACAAGAATCAGAAATTACCATGACACATCTCCACCTTAAACCCCATTAAACCCGATATCACATTGACAATATTGTGCACACGCGTACTGCATACATTAAATAACAACTGAGTAATATATATATATATATATATATATATATATATATATATATATATATATATATATATATATATATATATATATATATATATATAGCTAGTTGATCCCCCACCACATAAACGACACAGGAAAGGTCCACCCACCCACACTTTTTGGGAAACTAATTTTTGAGTGTACAATCAATCATGGTGAATTTGTCTTATTATTTCGTTGTACTTAATAAAGAAGAAAGAAATTAGTTTGCATCAATGTTCATTACATTTTAGTTGAGGTCATGACATAAAGTCACAATCCTCCAGGAGACGAAAAATAAAAACGCGTCTGTAACACCGATTGTACTTGTTTTTTTTATAATGCACGTTTATTGAAACAGATCTGTCGTGTCCTACTTTGCATAGTAAATTACATAACTAAAAGTAAATGATTGATGTCACGTAGGAATACATTTTACATTAAAGCCAAGTTACCATCAGGTTAATATTCAGCGGTGCGCCGGCATTCTCAATGTTAAGTACCTATAACAAAACAAAATACACACGAATTTAATTATTCTGTGCTCAAGAATTAAACTCCTCATACATATGTGAGCATGCCCGATCATTCTTAGTTTTATACTGAATACTTTGTTCAGAAGTATGTGACTCTGGGGAGATTGCTCGATACACATATCAATGCGTATAGGGAGAATACCACTGATTTTGAAGGACGGGCTAACAGTGTGAATGGGTAGGTCATACGGAAATATGTCTGCATTATTTATGAAATAGCGCAATGCACCATGGGATGTATAGCATTGAAGACAACCCAAGCAAAACCAACTCAAATTTAATTGATGCAATCTATCCGTGCACTACAACATGTTCATTTCATTTCATTGCGTCCCACTTATTGATTGCAATATTTTTTCAGAACATAAGAAAAGGTAATTGCTCTGCAAAAACTGATGCAAGCAAGAAAGCAAACTGGGAGTGCAATACTTTACGTATTAAGTCAAGCGAATGACATGTGCAGTGAGTGAGCGAAACAGACCTACAATCCGCTCTGCATAATTAATTCGGGTGATGGAAGATGATAGATAATAAGCATACGCCCAATGTGCTATCGCCAATATGTGTAGCTTGCTATATTACTGTGTTTTGTTGACGGGATTTTATCAGTCCTTCGTTGATATCAATATTAACAACATCTACCAGAAGCGAAAGACACCAGACTATCGGCGACAGAATAATTGATTGGATACATCCCCTCCTGGGAGCGTACAGGTGCCCCAATACGGTATTTAAATTCAACTGATGAACACGGAGGTCAATGGTTGCCTATCCTAGACCGACGGCAACTAAATACTTGATGTCGGGACATGGCCACGTCATATTTGCACAAATTGATGTCGCAATGTATTAGCCTTATACAAAAGTTAACAAACGTTAACTCAACGTAAGTTAAGTATCGTAATTTTAGAACATTATATGATATTTTCTAACCCATTCGAGGTAGGAGCCACACTAACATAGCTACCCGTCCGTTGGATATGGTCATATCACATTTTTGCCACCAAGTACTGGGTAATCTCAAAGATTCACAAATAGTTCTTTGAATTATCGTGCAAACCTCTAGAATGCGATATACATACATAACACAGCGGTGAAGGTCCATACATAATACATTGCATGAATAATTTACCTGGGTTGTCTGATCATACGTAAAATCTAGATGACTGACATCGTTTATTTTTACTTCAGTGACCAGGGTGCTTAATCCAAATACCCGGATGTTACCCCAAACAAGAGAATCCACACCAGTGTATCCATCAGTAACGATATTTCCGCTCAACTCGTTCTGGTGAAAACAAATTATACATATATTACTGCATACAATAGTATACTCTATTACATTCGTATATATTCTTCTTAGCATCGGTCCTTTAAATGAATAGGATTGATGTTAGAGTTCAATTACGAGAAACACTAATGTACTTTATGGTGTCAAATGCTATCTCAAATAATTGGATATGCCTGACAAGACAAGGTCGACATACACACCTGAACTAGTAACCTAAGCATATTAGAGAGTTGATAACTGTGAACGGTAAACAGCAATGTTAGTTTTTTTTCTCAAAGTATACCATATGGTCATATAATTTGTTTGTATATGCTGTATTGTGCGGGTAATTGTTAATCACCCATCTGTTGTATTATTGGTAAAAGTATTAATGGCTTAGTTCGTGTTCATTAATCCAATATGTTCATGTATGTATATAGAAGACCACTCAATCACTGTCCTTTTTATTTCTCATACGATTCATAAATTTTAGGCATCGACGTCCACACGCGATGTTCAGTTTATGGTTCGAAAAAGACCAATTAGTCAATACGATCATCCTAATCACAAATGTGACCATACACACATTATATTTAGTGTACATTTGTATATCAGACTTAGTGACCAAGTGGCTTATGAGGGTGTGCGTCTGAGTGGCAAGGCGCTTTGCCGTGGCCTTGAATTTGATATTTGTCACAGCTGGTGAATATGCACCTTGTTCCCGATGGGGGAAACTAACTAGGTAGGTCACACTGACAATGAATACGTGGTTTTTATATAGACGTCTGTGATGTCAGAGATTTATGCCTGTCATCGAGTCTCGGTAGATCCGCATATAAGACGGTAACTGTGGCGTGTTATATGTTCGCATTATGCCGTTAATGTATATTAGATATATAGAAATGTATATCACAAATATATGAGTTTCACTTTGTATTATGTTAATAAAAAACGAAATTCCACATCAGATGTAATATAACTCAAAACATGGGAACTATTCTAGGTTTCCACTATAAAATTCTTAAACGAGTTAAGTTTTCAGTGAGAGACGTATACTGTCCAAACTAATTACAAATACCAGTATAGAATACCGGAGTCTAGTAATGCTAATGATATGGACTATAACGAAAACATTATGGCTGTATCTAATGAAAGTGACATAATTTATGCGATGTATATCTGCATCCGGGATCTGTATAACACATGGTAGGTCACTAATCTTGGGCGCCTAATGCATATACCATACTTAATCTCACGTAACCCATGCATGTTATTTGAGGTAGCGGGAAGGTTATTTTCATTACAAATTGTGTTTCACGGATTTATGTATTAATTGTACATAGAATATATAAACTCCAAAATGATTATGTTAAAATATCGTACAGTGTTATGCAAGTTTGTTAAAATGAGGTTTTCATGAGACAGATAAAGTCAACTTAATTGACAAAAATCAACAAAACAGATGCAGTTTTCATATATGTTTACCAGATCAATGGAACACAATAGAATGTTGACTATTGTGCAAATGGGATGCGTAATCAGTCATTATATAACTAAGCAAAAGTGTTTACATAGCCTTGTATAATGTTTTGCCACGGGGCCAGGGATTAGTGATTTGTAGATCAAATCAACTTGCCACCCACTGAAACCAATACATATATGGTTTTTGCAGTTTTGTATATGTAACATAATCCAAACCAAAGTTGCACGAGTACCGGGTAATATATGAGTAACTGAAATAACTATCTTAGGATTTGGTTTTAGTGGAGACAATGAAACATAAACAGTATTTTGAACTTTGACATGCGAGTGCTAAACGCCGACACATGTATATTAAATTCACCAGCCTACGCAATTACTGGGAATTTATAATCGCATTGTATCATTTCATTATTTTCGTTTTACATTTAAGTGTATCACAGTCAGTTAACAGTGTCTAAAACAATCACATTTATGAGAATCGGAGGTTCGGCAATTCTATAACTACATAGTTTGCCGGGTCTTTATTTTTTTGTCATTATGGCAAGTTGACAATAAATATATTAATATTGTTCCAGCTTCTTGAACATTCTAAAATAGTACACTAATACTGTATGACATGTATGACCAATATTAATATATATCTACGTGTCTCCTTACTAGTTGGGGGAAAATGTGTGTTTATATTGCTTAAACTGTCAAAACCTTCAGATACAATTAGATGTGTTTGTATGACTAGGGCATCCGTTTTATGTAACACACCATATATGTCATTTTGGTGTCATACATTGTTCAAATGACAACTATTTACTGAAAGGCGTATTACACAAGAGTGAACATATGACCTGTATTTTGCAGATTACGACGATTTGCTAAACATACACATGCAACGAACGAATATTTCCGCTTCGAAGTAGGACAGTTGAGAGTGGGTACATGTATTTTTAGATACTAACTAGTTGAGTAATGTATCACAAAAATATATATTGCGCAAATCTTTGTGAAGTAGAAACAGGCACATTGTGTATTCACTTCCCTGTTTCCTGTAAAAGCATTTGAAGAAGGCTGTTTAATTTGCACTGGTTTTATCGAGTGAAACCTGTGAAGTATGTTTGTAAAATTGTTATTCATAGTGACATATCTCATCCCATTCTTCTACTTTTTATATTACTGATCGTTTTGGAATATTCGTGATATATCAATGTCCATTTAAGAAATTTGATGCAACTAACGATTTTTTACATGAACATTGCACTTTAAAAAATGATTTTAACACATTGGTGTTCTTCAAATGACGGAATTTAAATTGATTTCATTATTTGTTTGTGACAAATTTGTATTGATTTTTGGTATTTGATCAATAGATTTAACAATCGGAGAAACATTCAAAAATCGATTGCCAGTGCGTCATACTTTATTTCAGCATAACAATATGTTTTCAGCAAGAAACTTCATTACGCTAACCTGTTTTTGTTGCATTTTATTAGCATCCGAAAGCTCAAGATTCCAGTTTTTCCGTTTGTGCACAAGGCTCGACCGATTTATCACAGAATGGTTTATTTCACTGTTATACGAGGACATTTTGTTCCTCTGTTACGTACCATATAAGATTAAACAATTCAAGGCGTTATGAAAGATAACAGTGTTATGTAAGAAGCGTTTGTCTTTCATTCAGCTCGCGAAGCCTTTGTAACTTGCATTCTGACAAAGCACTTCGAGACAACATACACACTTATACGAGAGATAATAAATGAAATTACCGCAGTGGCGCTGAAATGTTCTTCGAAATACAGGCCATTTTCATAAGTATCTAGTATGTGAACAAAACATAACATGGATCAATACACGTTTTCTGAATACAAGTTGCCCTCTTTTGGTACGATGCGATTCTGTGACGTAAATGGGAGAAACATTGTGTTGATAATTATCTCTATATATATTGAATCCAGACTTGACTATATTCATAGTGTGACATGTTTTAGTATAATCGCGTTTCTACTTATTTTTAATATATGTAGACTGCATTTCTTTTTTTCCGAAGCTGCAAGACTTAAAGTATTTGCACCCCCAAAATAATGACGATCACTCGTATATAACATAAAATATATGGCGCAAATATCCCGAAAATAACCAGAACAGAAGCCCAATAACGCCGCATCGCGTAATATGTTACGTCATCAATCGTATTTATAGTCAGACATCTATAATTGACATTACGTCTTAAAGTGTTACAGCCTATTCAAAGCATGTTTCTCCAAATGACCCTGCCAAGGATTATTGAAAATACGGGCGACTATAAGTAACCATTAACAGCTACCAAGGCGTGAAAGCGTTTGCACGTTAATAGCTTTTATGGCATTGTTTCTATTATTGCTGAAAGAGTTTGCCATTTTCTAGCTCTAAAATGTCTACCACGATAAGAGTAATGCGGTTTAAAGTCTTTACAGTATGTGTGACAGGAATAGGACAGTTTACGTGCAATTGACAATGTGCATAGACTCACCAAGTGTATCTCCATCATCCCAGAACAAATTCCCGGATGCAGAGGCATTATCGTCTAAGGCAGCTATCAATCCCATGGGCTTAGTACGACTAAAACAATTAGATGCATACAATCATGGTAAATAAACGACCGTTTCACGGAAAAAAATGATAAAGAATGCCAGAATGGCACGAAGTAGAAATTGCTGATAAAATTAGATGTAGGATTTGATTATTTGTTTAATAGATAATTACATCATACTAAATATGTGAAATTAAACTCACGTAAACAAGGTAGAATTTCCTGGTTCCTGTGTCGGCAATACATAACCTCCTCGTACGTGCACGTTTATGTGATCGAGAGGAGCACTAAGCACAACGATTTGTGAGCGTACACCAATGTCATTCCCCTACGGAGAATATCACAGTACAATGATACACGTGTCTTAGACCAGTTTGAGTAATATTCGCAGCCCTTACAGAATCATGTACATCATTAAATAACAGAAATAAAAAAAAAGTATGAAGATATTTTTCTTTTATTTATGGCACTAGAGGAAATTGCATATGGCCATCGCCGCAAATAGATGGCATTTACATGATTGCAATAGAATGGTGAAATTGATGAGCACGCGCATATTTCGATATAAGCCATTGATTAGTTCAATAAGAAAATAATAGATTCACGAAGAAAAGAAATGAAGGAATCTAACGAGATGCAATGAAATGCAATTGAACATTATGAGAACAAATTGTTTATGCTCGTTATGACCAGTGCCATGTGCACTATGTGTATAACCAACATCAGAAGTGAATAACTCTCTCGAAATAATATGAATGATTATAACTGATTCGGTACTACCAGTGTATTTCTAAGTTCTCGCATCTTTGCATATTTTCTACCTGTGATACACGTATATTAGTTTCTGCGAACGCTAGAAGACTTTGAAACTCACTAAATTTGAATAATATTTGTGAGATATCCGAATCCGAAAGTATGTAGTTTGCGTATTTAAATAATCTTTTTAGTTTGTATATTTCTACTCCTGATCAATCAGTTCCCCCCTCTGATGACTCAATCGAACCTGATATGCCCTTGCGTACGTTCTCCTAAACCCAATCGCGGTTTGAACACGATTTAATATAGGTAAAATAAAAAAATAACACTCTAATCTTGATAATAATTAGTGTAATGAGAAGTTGAATTACACACAAGAACACAAAACAAACGAATTAAACATACGATTACTGTACACAGCGCAATAAAATACATGGTCAGTCTAATGAGCGACAGCTGGGTGAATCTAAGAAGATATCAGATGCTACGAAAGGCAGTGGGATGCCCCATCATATTCGAATGTTTCAAGTCACAGGGATTATGTGTAACATCACGGTGCTAAAGGAAAGCGGATCACGTTGTGTTTTATGGAGAGATGATTTTGTGTCGTGTTCATGGGTTCGGGGAGCCACGCAATATTTGTGAACATTCTAGTAATTATAGTGTGGCAGGACATTCAGCGACCACTAACACTTACAGTGTAATAATCGTACCATTTCGCATCGGGAAAATAACCTGAAACCTCTGTCATGCCCTGTAATAAAAACATAGCATATAATTTCACAACATGGCAATAAATCAATCAGGTTCACCCCCAATATTCATACAAGACTGTGTGTGCTCACAAACTTGAAATAATTTATTCATCCACCTCTACTTTTTCAGAAATGAAGTCAAAAAGTACAAAGGAGGTCATCTTCGAAAACTTGATTGGTATGGAAAACGTGTCTACGGCGGCAAACAATATCTCTGTATATCTTCCCCCGAAACTGCACCAAACTAAGCTCTTGCTGCTATCTACTTCGGAATACAGAAACTGACGACTGATTTCCCTTGGTACATATTGAAACACACGTACGGATATATCGAACTGACAATGTACCCAATAAGACGACATTAATTATTCATCAGTCGTGTATGTGAAATTATATCGTTGGGACGTACCTGAAGGAGAACAGGCGTGATGAGAAGTGCCGGGCCCCACAGGAATTGTCTATCTATATCGTGCGCTGTGAGGTCAGTAACAAACCTGCCGTCAAAAAACAATGATTGGCTTCAACAACAAAAAACTTAATCTTTTTAAGCTCAGCCAAAGGAACTAAGTATATTTGATACGTGTTGATAAATTGTTCTCCCACTTCAATAATAACGTTGCTCATGAGATTCATGTATAATTTTCTAATTTATATTTGCTCTGTTATCTGTGCCTCCAAGGCATCTTGTTTACGTCACATACGTTTTAAATTAGAACATCACGGATAATTATACATTCTCTCTTCCCTTGGTGTCTTCGGGATATATTCAGTGTATATTCGACTGACAGCGATTATTAGTCGTATACATGATATTTCATCGCAATCGATTCAGTTAATAAGAGACGTGGGAACACCTACAGAGCAGTGAAAGTGTTTCTTTCAAAGCACGTTTATGCAAATGAAACAATATTTGCGGTACTGAAAAACAATGAATGTTTCATTGATATGTAGATAACATAGATGGTCCTCAAATATTAAATAAAACTTGTACTAACAGTCACAGTAGTGACAGTGGCAACATTGAGTGAAGAAAATATTTCTTTACATAAATATGTCACACCTGACTCGTATAGGACAGAGAAACCAATGAGTTTTTGATGGTTAACGAAGGGGAATCGTACTTTGTACTTACTCGTGCATTAACGGGCGGACAACTGTTGATCCGTTCAAATGAGATTCGTGGAAAAGGGTGTACAGGAACGGCATCAGATTGTAGCGAACGTGTAGTGCAGCCTTTGCAATGGTTGCAAAATCTTCCCCAAAGACACCAGGATCTTGTTCCTAGATACAAAAAAAAAATGCGGAGACAACTTTGCGATTATTCATTAGAAATGTACACAGTTGACGTCATACGAAATCTACTCCGTCGTAGATTTTTGAATACAATCTGATTCCACGAATGGATATCCATCATTTTTAATCCAGGTACAAGCAACTCAGTCATTTAATAGTTACTCCCAAGGTTACTGTTCGAAATCCGCGCTGAGGAATTAAGGAACTAATTAGGAGCCGAACCGACAAATCTACCTAATAAATTGGGGTTCTAGCGATTTTCTAAGAAACATTAATCAAAGTGCCTAGATATGTCACGTCAGGACGAATGTAATCTTTGGCAGTGATTAACTAAACCTAGTATATTGAAAACAGTTCCAATTTCACAGAATTAATTATACTAACATATATCAGTAAATAATCTTAGTAAAACCAGGTGTCCAATCAGTCTGGTTTACGTAATGTAATATCAAACATGCTAATAAACTTGGATAATAAACCCTCGTGTACATTGTACCCTCCCCACCCCACCCCCCAAATGCTTATCCATTAACTTTCAAATAAACATCACAAACTAGTATACAGATAAGAGCAAGGTTATATGCATACAAAATGTAAAATGTTGTATTTTGAATAAAACAGAATTGTAAATGAAAGTATGTATTCGGTATTTTGTGTGTTATAAATTGTAGAAGATGATGTTGAAAGGTGGATGAAAATGAATTATAAAGTGGCTACCAACTCGTCAGTTTGTAAGCAGTTAGCTGGATATTAATCATTATACATTTTGCTATTTTTTTTCCATTATAGACACCAATATAACTCCAATATTCCAAATTATGTGACTATTTGTTGACAGCGAAATGTCCGTGAACATGTATCCTCATTGCTGCATGTGTTAAACACTATGTTGGTTGGTTCAGTAAGTTATTTCAGGATATTTGCATCTAGCAGACATGGCAGTGAATGACTTGGATTGTTTGTTAACAAGAACGCAAAAAAACAAACAAAATTAATCCAAATACTTGAAATTAATATATGTATCAGGTTTTCTAATTATGTGTTAACCTTGTAACGTCAGTCAATGCGGTCACGAATGAAAGAGATGTGATCCATACATATAATTACCGAATACTCGCCGTGTTGCTATTCATGCGCTTGCTATTATCGTTTAAATCCGCTGTAAGGATGTCCCGAGCTACTTTCAGAAAAAATGTGCTGGTTAGATTAACCAGAAAGCAGAAAAATGATGCATTGAAACTTTAATGGATTATAGTGATAAACGGGTTAATCGCACAAGCAATTAGAGAAGTTATATCACATCTAGAAGCGGGACGTAATTGGAAGTAATTTTAATACAATTTTACAATGTACTAGAATTATACAGAAGGGCAAATGAAACTTACTATATATCCATAACCATTGTGATTTCTTGAAAATGGATAAAACGCTCCAATCTGCTGCCAACGCAGACAGAGTTCGTAGTTTGTATCACCAATAAAGCCGCAGATGTCAGCACCAATCTGTAACACAACGTTAATACCAGCTACGATGAATAAGTAACGTTAGTGGCAAATGCGGGAATTTTTAGGACAAACGTTTGTTGTTCGGATCATCTTCAATGCAGTGCCTTGCGTATCAATCAAGCGAGGATTGCATACATTTGTCAGATAAATACTCCTAAATGTGTACGCCATCAAAAAATGACACAGACAGTTTCATCCTGAAAAGCACATCATCACGAGACTGAAATAAAAATATATCGTTGGATAATCTACGCAATTTTTTAAACATGTCTATGTTACGAGACATGAATACCTAAATTATATCTCTACAATCTATATATTAATTGAGTAATAATATTCACATAAATGGTGTAAATGATTACGACTTACGTATGGTATTCCAAAAATGTTAAATTCCAGCATACCTTGAAGAAAGACATTTTATTTCATTAAAAATAATATAAAAAAAAAAACTACTTAAAAATATACACCGAATTCAATATGAAATTAGAGTAAGGCTGGTTCACCGAAACACCAGTCATGTAAAACGAATCGAAAGTTTAGCATAGTTTGAACTATGCTTTCAATTATCGCCCAGCCCACGGTGTATGGATGACGATCTAGGTAACCGTAATTGTGTTTGAATTACTGAGTAGGTGGAAGTAATAATTGTATCTTATGGGAGGTTGGCTTCCAAGTATTAAACACGTAGTAACTACTAGGACTGATAAATATGATACACTGCTAGTGGTAGTTCGTAACAAAAGTAATCATTATGCACAAGAAACATACATTTTAGGAGACAATGACGATTCATCAGCAGTTCAGAAGAGTCACTGCCAAACGCGATTACCTAATATAATTTTTTGAAATATACTATATGTTTTATTTCAAATTTGACTTGGTCGATATTTATATCCAGTCTCCGGGGAAGGGGGGGGGGGTGTTTTACCGGCAATGATTTATTTGCCTGTCAGCAGAATAACAAGTTAGAGACGAATTTCCACGAGATTTGCATGTGCGACCAATCGGTTAGATAATGTGAGAGATGTGGGTCCGGTTGCCATGAAAGTAGGCACTATGAAAGGAATTCTTTACTAATGCGTAACGTAACTCATGAGGTTATGGGCGAATTTTCATGATTCCTTTGAAAAGATAATCATTGCATCAAGGACCAAGTAATTTTACAAGATATCCGAAGGATTCAGCACCATAGTCAGATAGAGCCATTATAATAATATCAACTTCGACTACATTCGTAAAAATTGCTGACGAATCCTAATTTCCCTAATCTGTATTATTTTGAGAAACTGGGAGCCGGCTAATTCGCGATTTTTAAGTTCATCATTTCCACATATACAATGCATAGTCAATTACGTATGCAATATACAGAGCCGTTTCAGAACCAACGGAGGGCGAGAATGCCGCAGGTGAGTAGATATTTCCATGCGCCTATCGTACTATGACTAAAATTAAAAGAAACCGGAGACAACTCTTCGGGAACGATCGATGCGTTGCGGTAGTCAGGCAAGTGTGTGAGATGAAGAGGTAAATGTAGCGTTATTCCCCCGAACACATATTTACCATCTGTGTCTATCGTATTAATTGTTTTGTTTTATCTACAGCTACATTAGCCAAGCATTTCAATAAAACAAAATCTAACGCCTTAAGAGAAAAAATCAATCATGAGACAAAATGTATGGGTAAATAAAATATTCTGCCTTGGGATATGTACTCAGTGTAGGCCACGAGAGGTTGAAACATGGATGCAGCAATATCGCACATAGTCGATTGCTCATTATATATGCAAGACTCGTCTATACGAGGTTTTCGTTGCGGTTTCTCAAGATCATCTCAACCACTCTATGGTTCGAGTCTTCTTGGGTGAGGGAGGGCGGTCATCTGCTTTTTGTATATCAAATGAAAAAAACAGGGATTGATATTCACAATAACTAATTCAGTGCACATTTACAATTTGGTTACAAAGGTTTTGTTTCAATTCGACAAAATAAACGAAATAAAACCTAAATAAATTCATAAAAATATAAATAATGCACTAACATCTTGGCGGGCAAAAAAGTATACAGTAAAATAAATTGGTTCCTTCTTCATCACAAGACACGTAGTTTATTGTTGACATTGCAGCCTCAAGCGTTCTAAAATAATTATCATTCCTTAATACAATGAATCGAAAGTGCATGGTCCTGTCCTGTCCTGTTTTCTATATTCAGTTTATTTCTCAATTGTGTACGTTAACTAAATAGTACATTGTTGTGGTTAACCTATGTAGAAAATCTCTTGGGTACTCACTCGAAAAATCATGTTCTACACGACTCGGAAACTTACTACCGAATTAGTATTGCCAAGGTGTACTTTTAATAAAATTACTACATCAAAGGAAATTGTCCATCAACTGCCAGTGGCAGCAATTACGCGGTGTCGGCGTAATGGCGGGAAATAATGTAAACTGGTAAGTTAAGGCTATACAGTAGCTACAATTTATGAATTCGTACATTTCACGTATGCATCGTGAAGGGAATCTTCGTTGTGACGACCTCGGAAACACTGTTGGTATCTTAACTCAAAGAAAGACCATCCTATCATTATAGAGCTTTTCTCCGAGGTAAAATAAATGAAATAAGAAATAATCGTTTGGACCACTTGAGGCTGCTTTTAACCTCGGTGTTATAGCACTGATCGCAGAGATTGCGAATGCGTAACAAAGATTACTTAGCAGATAATTTAAATCACAAGAGACCCACTGACATTTCAGATTTATAAAAAAAAAATCAGTGCTAATCGATTCGCTATGATTTGCCAGTGTCCCTGTGGGTAATATAAACGTCGCGTCGATAGAAACGTCTAATTATTTGATGTGGGTGTTTTTAATGCTTTCGATGTAAACACATTCAACATGTCACGTTTTATTTCATACATTGTGTTGCATCGGCAAATTAAAAAAAAAACACTGAACGTCTGGCTGTTTATGCAAAAAAATGCAACATGCAAGTTGAAAAGTTTGAAAGTCACAACATAGGTACTATATATTATCGCCCTAAAATAATCCTGTCACGAAAACAGGCAAGTGGATTACGGTTTTTGTCAGACGTTGGATAATAATTCGAGTACATCGCCTACTTCAACAGAATAGGGCATTATATTAAAGAAACATCTCGGAGTATTATAGTCTATCATTATTTGAAAGGATTGCACGAGATGTTCAGAGCTTTGATTCAATATAAAAACGAAACTCATTAGCATGTACGTTTCCTAATACGTTCAGAGCTTTTATTGGGAACAAGAAACACACATTTGCCTAGAAGATTGGAATATTTCAATTTTGCTAGATATTTTTTTTTAACATTGTATACTTAGTGATACCTTTGGGCGATCAGAAGTTGGGACAATTCGTCATAGATTACAACGTTAGTATTCAACAACAGGCGATTATTTGTCTGTTTGCATTGCGTTTACTTGTCTGTCATCTTTTACACAAGAATATAGAATATGTAAGCTCGGACTGATTAGGTTGTGACTTCTTGTGGAGGTAGATTTGAATGTGTTGCACGCTCTGAAATGATGTCTCCTGGCGCAGGGAACGATAGTACTGAAATAAGTATTCTTTTTATGGTAAATCATCAAAAAAAGTCACAGCTTTCGACCATCTTTCAATGTGTGTTTTTTAGCAGATGTGATATTTATTCATAATCTGTTGATATTTGTAATCATATATCTCGTTCCTCCTTATATATGTTACATTTGAGAAGGAAATGTTTTGCATTCTCAATTTTCCGTTGATCACAAACTAGACAGATTCTATTAGCATTTATATTATTATATCTGTCCCTTTCAATTGATATGACATGAGCGCCTATTTATAGTTTTGTTGTAGCAGCTCCATGGTTGGGATCGGATTTTTAGTATTATATTCCCTCAACAATAATATTAAACACTATAACAGTGTAATGTATGTAATCAAATACTAACAGCAAATAAAACGTAAAACCCTGTATGTGTACTGATTTGCAGATTGATATCAATTGTAGTTTGCTAAAACATTGAATGAATTCCAAAATTTGGGGGGTATTGCTTAGCTTCCGTGGACAATGTTTTGCGAGATTATGTTACCTCGTGATTTGAAGCTCATGATTACCTGTTATGATCACTAAGTCACATCAACACGCAAACTCTGATGCCACAATAAAAATTGCGACATAATGCGTTCATATTTATCCACTAAACAGACTGCAAATTTATAATTTTTAAAAATCGAATAAACGTGCTGTTAATAATTGCTCACCTATTATCGACTTATGCATATTCGGCCAATTGCTGTAGTTGTCGCCCAACCAATGACCAGCGTACTGACCAACTCCGGGAAACGTCGACCGTGTGATAACTATACTTCTTTTCTTCGTCACGATACGTGCGGCGCTGGGTAAGTAAGAAGAGACACCTTATTAGCAATACACCACAGCGAAGAGGCAAGCAGCAAATTGAAGACGTCTAGCACAAGGAAATAATTATGTAAGAGTTTTTGCTTGTAGATGGTTCACATTCTTACTTGTCGTTACAATTTTGAAAGGATTAGATAGATGTTTTTTTTTTCTTATTAAATATTAGTGAATGTTGTTACTGTCGTCGTCTAGTGGGCGCCTCAGATAATCGCATAAATATGCACTGAGGCTAAACATTCAGTGGAACTTGTACGAATATTACACGTGGCGGATTATCTTGAAAGTCTGCGGTCGTGGTGAATTTGGCAGCTGTGTTTGACATATACACAAACGCCACGATAAAAAGTAGCATCTGCATGCACAACAACAATGTGCCTAATTTGTAATTATAATATCAAATGAAAAACAAAACAAAAAAACACAGTTTTATTGATAAGCGTTCCTTTAAAAATCCATACCAGGGATTGATATTGGCAGAAACGTATATCTGTCTACATAATACGATATATAAGATGTGAAAATGTCGATCTATTTTATCTTGATTTAAAAACTAATCCCTAGTACGTGGGCGGTATGAATGTAATAAGGAGGATTATCGATTACGTAATTGTTTTATGAAATAGTTCGAATAACAAAGACGATAGCCTCAGAGGGACTGTGCCCTCACGTAGTCACTATTAGAAAAAATACATCAATCAATGTTACAACACTATCTGGTGCTGGTAGGATGATGTATGGTTTTCAATTCAATACAGATTATCATCTAAAAATATTCCTATTCCCCAATGAGAGCGGTTCTAGCTACAACCCCAGTGTCTTTATCTATCACTTCGTGGTAAAATGTTCTGAGATCTCATTCCCTTGGGTCTCCCCAAAGCTTTCGTAGTCAAACAATTAATTCTGTAACTATGCTTTTCCCATATATGTTACGTAATATAAATATATACGACTGTTACTACCCACGTGACATGAGGACATAGTTTTCTCAGAATTACCTTCAGCACGTGATCATAAATATGTTTAGGTTAAAATACTGAATGAACTGTACGTATAAGTAAATTAAATCAGCAGGTACGCGCATGCGTACGGGTGGTTTCATTTTATTTCAGCTAAGAAATAACGGTCTGTTGTTCAAGTAACGTTTTCATGTAACGATAAAACAAGCGTTGTTGTATTTATCGAATTGCAATAATAAACAAGTTATTTAAACATGCTCAACAAACTCCAATTTATTCACATTTTCTCTTCAATCAGACGCGACGCGATCTCAGTACATTGACCACTGTCTGTGGCTGACTTTAACTAGTTCCGTACACATCTCTATCTTGTGTAGTGTGTGGGGGCGCTGTTCACTCAGCGGGTGTACTGTTTGCCTCTCTTCACACACAACGACATATTTGATATCAGGTGTCACACTGTACTGCTGTATGAATGATTGTGCGCATGTGTATAATACAAAGACTTATTGGTTTCAACCTGTAAATACAAGTCTATCCCGCAACATTTGAAGAGCAGGAGAACACTCCGTTTTCATTATGAATTTAACTCTGGCTAAGCCATCATTTGTATATTCTCGATTTATTCTAGAATGTTGTTAGTCCAGTTTTACGGTTAAACGAAGTGCGCCCTCATTTCTGTGTGTTTGAAATTGACAATGTAATTTGTTATGGGCATGCCTGGTGTGACAACTTCGAGTACTGTGCTGGTGAGACGATAGAACGGCTACACTTAATAAATTCGGCATGTGTTAATTTCTGTATTCATTTCCTGCAAATTAATAATACAGAAAGCTATACAAGAATTTCTACAAACAAACAATTCTCTTTACAGTTATAATTTAAAAGTCGATACTCTCCCATTGTTGTGATAATATTAACTTGCCAAAACAAAATCTTGCTAGATAGAGCGTGTGAACTTTAAACACATGTTGATGATCACTCAGTGCTTCGAGATCGGTGTCACGGTGTCGAGGCCAAGATTGATAAGCACGCCCATGTAGTAAGATTATGGCTTTCGACGCTGCGCTCCTTTCAAATTTTGACCGTAAAATAAGCCGCATAGACTAGGTCTCCTAACTCCTTTTGATTGTATATAATAATGTAACTCAAGGTATGCACGAAGACAGTTCAGCGGGAGTATCGGCCGACGCGCAGTTGTGTATTGTCTGAGTGCATACTTTTATGTATTCTCGTAGTAACCTTACTATTATACATCTTTTCCTTCGGAGGATGCTCCATGGGAATACCGAAATCAAAAATATTTAGAACAGAATCAGCGAACTTCTTTGTGTGGAGTTCGGTCAAACTCTGGTGGCAGCCATATTTGTTTGTATTATTAGAGGACGCTTACGCGCGTAATCATTCCATATTTGGAATTCGAATATCCTTATATGGTAGGATGAAAATACCCCGTAAAATACCGCAAAATTACGGCACGCTGTAACTTATGGCGTTACGGTGACAGTATAATAATAACAATTTATGTACTCCACGTAGTGCCATATTGAATTCAGAGTCAAAGCGCGGTGGTCGTCGCGCAGCGCGTGTTCGAATTTCATGTAAATAAACAATCTTTTACACGCGTTGTATACGTCGCTATGAGTCCCATATCGAACAAGACGCGGCGTGACGACTGCCGCCCTTTAAACGTTATCTCAACTGTTCATCCAATATAACACTGTCGTTATAGTGAGTTCAAATGTGTTGTGTATTGGCACATGCCTTTGGGAAGGTGGTGATTCTGTCAAACCGTAGAGACTGTGCAGGTCGTAGTGATTGCCAGCATATTGCTTGTGTTCCATGCAAATGGTCTTGTCTGATAGTGTCTGGCCCCATGCCTCTATAGAAGAAACATACAGGAAGTGTGATAACTTGAACCCTTCCTGGGTATGTGCGTATATAATCTAAATAATGTGCTAGATTAACCTCATTTAAATAGACATTGGAAAAAGAAGTGGGGCGTCGACAATTCTGGTTGAAGTTGACTAAATTATGATATTACGGATGCGCTACTGCGCACTTACTTGTCTTGTATGGTGGATTGTCCAAACTATTATAGTCACACCCATCTCTGTCTCCGTTGTAAAAATTGGCAACTTCATTCATATCCTATATATATATATAAATACACAATAAATGAAATATATGTGGTTGCGCATTACGTTTGAAATATGTGATGCAATCATGCGTAAACGAGGACGTTATTGATATAATAAAACATACTGTGAGGGGTTGTGGTAAATTAAACTGGAGCATGTTATGTATGTTCTACCGATAATAGAAGAACGCGTATAGCGTCAGAACGAGAGCTACACGACGTCTCTTAATACAGTTATATATAAAGTACATGAACATGCGGTACTCTGGCCTGATGATAGTATAATTTAGTGAACTTACGATCCATAGTCCGTCGTATTTGATGACATTATAGAAATCATAACATTGGTCTACCCACCACTGCTCTGCATTGGGGTGGGTATAATCGGGGAAACTCACCTCATCCGGCGGCCATACCTGTAACGATAAGCTACGTTAAAAAAATTCCTGTATGCAGAGAGTTGTTCTGACACTCTAAAATACTGCCCATGACATAACCACTACCACTACCACCAACAACAACGAATATATTTATTGAGAAGAAGAACTGTTAGAGTTGTGTGGCGAATTTTGTGTAAGCAACAGTGACCACGGACACTATAGATGACACTCGTAATACATGTGAAATATACTCAAATGTTCTAATGAGTGAATGAGACGTAATAGCTACATTAACATAACGATCATGACATTATTAGAGACACATGTGCTTTGCGAGGTTCGTTAAACCAGCTTAGATAAGCAAATTAACTGACAATTGCGCCGATAACCCTGCCCTCATTAGTGTAAATTGTGGCTGTATTAAAGTGGTTTATCTGGATGAGACTCAAATTGTGTGGGTATGATTATTATCTCACATTTTCCGTCTAAAAGCTCTTCTACTCTGCAAGTTATTTTACGAACCGTCGTAGTTGGAAGCAGCTGGAATACAAACGCATTTCAAACTATGATGGCGCTCTCACATTTCTTACAGTGAAGACACTACTACCTTTCACGCTGTGAGGGCGCTCTTACCTTTCCAAGTACATCCGTGACACCGTCTACTTCCTTCACCCATATATCAAAGTCACTGCCCTTGTCGTACGCAGGATACGTGCCAGCTGGCTCAGTGGTCATGATGCACGGGTCCTGGAGTTAATGATCGTGTACATATAAGGATAGGACTGCATCAGTAGACATGCATGAACATATGAGTTTTATAAAAAAAAATCGACTTGCAGTACATTGAAAACAATTCACCAAGTTATCACATGAAAACGTAAATCAACCAAACACGTTATACGAGTATATGTACAATAATCAATATCAATCATACGAATTCTGTGATACAATAGAAGGGGGGCTTACTAAGATAATTATGTAATTAGTTCCCTCAGTTTTCAGTTCATCAACATATTCGGGTAGTCCAGCATAGTTCACTGTGTCGTAAGTGAAATCCATATAGCGATCCATATAATCAATATCGCCGAATTGTACATCCTAATAAATGCGGAAAAAAACATTTTTGAAATTATTCAGCACACCCTGATTAATTCAAATGAAATCACGCCCTCTAGCGACAGAGATGTGCTGTGACGTATATCTCCGGTGACTTTTCCTCGTTACGCCATGATGTTTACGGCCACAACGCTGCGCCGTCGCAAGATGGCGCTTCTGTAATGAAAGGTGCATACATTCAACATGACTGATATGAACTTTAATTATCGCTGATTGATGCATCGTGATGATTGGACACATATGTTGATTTCGGCTGAGAGTCTAACAGCTGTAATCAGTATATCATGTTTTAGCGTACGTGTTGCTACTTACATGGGGTATGTCATATAGTCGCATCCTGTCAACAGTGTCCCTGAGCACGTCAATATGATCATATCCATAACGTGACAGTTGGAATCCCAAACTCCAATACGGTGGCATGAAGGTACGTCCTATCGCCTAAATACAAACAACAAATTAAACTTGGAAACGCCTACAGTTATACATTGACAAATTATAAATATTTCACGGACGTACGTACCTCTGTATATTGTTGAACGACGTTTTCTGGAGTTGGGCCCAGAAAGACGTAGATATCTAAGATTCCTCCAATTGTTCTGTATGTTATAGAGGGAGCTGGCTGAAGATCGAATTCTGCAAGGTAAAGAAAACAAAACAATAACAAGATGAACGCCTGAGTAGTCAATTTGCCAAAAGCTTGGAATTGAACTTGAAGGGCGCACTTGAAGAGAGCAGCTGATTTTATTAGAAAAGGCAATTACATATTTGCCGTTGAAAAAAAACACGTTATAGTTTAGTTTAATTGATTGTCATAACACCACATATCACGCTCTATGGGACATACAATCTAGTTGATTAATTGAGGAATTTGAAAAGCTGTTATAAGAAAACATGATAATAACACCTACAACTTCTTCCACTGATCCTAATCAAAAAGTATAGGTATTGCCTATGTGTTGTGGTATTAGCAGGATAGAAGGGGGCTGGCATAGCGACACAAGGTACACGCGTGACCGCCACCACAAACATGCAATTGAATAGCAGCTAAATATTCGAACATAAAAAAACAACGCACACTGTCAGGTGATTTATAACCAATGTTCTCACAAACTCGTTCTACTTTCAGTCGATGTGTGCGCTTTTTAAGATTGTACGTCACATTAATTATATAAATACCATGTTCAATAATTGCTGATTGGCCGATGTTCAGTTGCAATTGGTTCAACTTACCCTGAGCATTGCTGTTCAATATCAATACACCATGTGCGTTGAAATCATTTTCTAGCACAGTGTAATATGGGTGAACACCATACATGTTGGCATAAGGCTAAAATAGAGAAAACATATCATTCTATTTATTATCCGACTTGTTCTGCTTAACTATTTAAGGGGGTGATGAGCCTGAAAAGTGGTGTGCTGAAAGGCACTGGTGAATAAAAACTTTGAAACTTTCAGACACCCAGTCGAATTAAATTAGCCTACTCTAGTGTGGGTTAGAGATATTTCACACACAACATCATTAACAGCAGGAGCGATTTTTTCTCAGATAAGCTGGTGATATATATTTCGCTGCAGTGCTTTTTCTCTCGCAATCGCAAATATGTGTATGTAAATGCAGACTTCATTTTTCTAACATGGTTGTGTGTTTTTTATATAGGAGTACACTGTCTTCACAAATACCCTCGCATACTATCAGTGTTATTTGCAAATGATATTTTGTTTAATATATATAGAAAAGTGGATTTAACACACCCAACCATAGTCGTATAGGGGAACATACAAATCCAAGAACATCAAATGACTGATAATCGACAAAACAAGTCACAATAACAAAAAGAAACAACTGATTTTATACTACACTACATAGTCAAATCGACAAGAAAGTTGAATAGCTGAACTGAACAATTCCACAAAACATCATGTATAATGTTGAATTTTTGAACTGAACAACTCTGCAAATCAAATATCAAAACAATTCTACAACACATAAGAATTATGTTGAATCATTCAACGGAAGAATTCCGCAAAATATCATCAGTAAACGGGTTGAGTCATTCAACTACGCCATTCCAGGGGCGAGGTTATATCGGTATTGATGCCATGGGTAAGACAACACATGTTGCAACCGCGATAAACATGTTGTGGCATATTGTATTGATAAAGTAAACTTAAGATGCTATCTATTCAACGATAATAATGTTGTCACAAATACACATTAACCATATCAATCTAAGGAAATCTATCATATACCTGTGGTGGTTGATCCCTTGCAAACATTGGGTACTTCTCCCAAAACATGTCATGTTTGAAAGCAGGATGTTCGTGCTCTCCAAACCCATATAGATTGAATGATGGTAACTTTGTTGAAATCTGTATAAACTGGTCGGCAAATACAAAACCACCTAAAGAGGTGTCGAACCTATAAGAAAAATTCGATGACGTCATATGTGTTATAAATTGTATCGTTCTCTACATAATATATCTTTGTTTTGTTTGTTTATTGTAAGAACTAAGAAAGAAGGTTCATTTGCATTGTGTCATGGCCACTAATTACATGATATTCCACTTTGAATTCGCAGTCGATGAACGATGAACATACACACCAACCAACTGGTCATGAATGCAGCTGAAAACGTCTCTTCGTCGATGGATTTCTTTGTCGCCGGTGTCTGAGTTGGACGCAGAAATCTGAATATCTCATTACACATGCACAAACAAAGTGCTGTCCCCAAATCGGCGTCATTTTGAAAAAAACTTCGAACACTTCTGTTGCTGTCCACGTGCAGCAGTGCAAATTGCCGAACCGCACGACGTGCACGTGACAACTGGCTGACCAATCGTATCGCATAATCTGAGTGTGGTGTGTTATTTATAATACTCATCGATTACATACTTAGAATAAATTACACTAAATCGATGACACACGTGGAATTACTTACAATACAGTTCCTGTTGATACTCTTATGATTTTGAATGAGAATGCTGGACCGGCATCAAAAATGATGTCATAGTTAGGATTTGCTGCCATTACTGATGGCGAAGCAATGGTCAGTGGAACCTCGTACCGTGCATTATTTGGATCATATATCTGGGAGAAATAATAAAAATCAAAAATCAATACACTGTATAACCGCTTCAATATCGCGTGCCAGTGAGCATCGCGAAACTATGAAACAAAGACAATCTTAATAGGATCCCCACAAATACCATTGAATCATCAAAACGTAAAGTTAACATTTCTAGCAGCGACATTCAACCGTAATCGCTATAATAAATCCGAAATGCTGACGTATCTTTCCCAATTGAACTACACTAGCACCAGTCTACAACTCAACTACTAAATATAAGTATGTGTTTTTCACATGGAAACCAGTATGTGTTTAACTGGACAAGCATTTTTAGACTCATTTTATTATTATCAACATTCATACATTTCACTGCCATTAGTTTTCTTCATTTTACGTGAGCAGGAAAAGTACAATTATCCTGTATAGCTTTATCTCATATCAAACACGTGACATTTAAATTATTCTATTATATAAACTCAATGAACAGTTTGTAAAAAAGAATTCGTACCTTGACACGGACTCGGTCATCTGTCTGGAATTCCACATCTAGTATGAGATCTACTATATCGCCGCCAAACATCGTGTACGTATTGATCTTCTGCAATGTAACTCTGTAACCCATCGTGGTACCAACGGGTGAACCTATACAGATAGAAGCATGCAATCTCCTCGTTAACATTTATATATAGACGAGTCAGATCTAGGATTTTTAAGTCAATCGTTTGACGTCTGGCTGCACAGAGCTATCTCATTGCTTTACCACGAAATTAGGATAGGGGCCTGTGATTTTACTCATTAATGATAATAACAAAATAGTTCCATATGTTTATGAAAACCTGCGCAGACAAATTTCCAATACGCTGCTGAAAATGTTCACACATACGTGTGAGTGTATTGTACTGTGTTCTGCGTGTAACAAGGTTGGCCCCAAGAATCCCTATTTTCGATTTATTCAAACAAAAGTTCAGGAATAATAATATACTATATATGCAAATGGCCACTGAAATCTCGTTGAGAGTGAGAGAACCACGAGATTTGTTTTTCCCTCAAATAAAGTTCCATTATATCCGCTGTTCCACATACCATGTTCCACTGATCCATATAAACACGATATTCGAAGTAGTGGGCGCGCTGAAAAACAAGTCTCACCGCTCACGAGAAATTGGCGGCTATTTGCATTTAAAATGTATTAATAGTTTTCCTGTTCTGTAATGCCTAAAACGCAAGTGTGATTACGATTTTGTTTGGTGTGGGTGAATAACCCCGCATTCTCGATATTACCAATATCAGCAACTCACCGACCATCCTATAGCCGTTCTCCAAGGGGAAATAGCACCAAGAGGCCTCAGTGTTATAATCGGTTTCAAAAATACATCCTCTCGCGTGGCATGTAGATTCAGTGACCCCACCTTCAGGGTAACAATCGATTCGCTCTGATGCTGGTATCGTGTAGACGTTATCGTAAAAACACCACGGAGTACCAGTCAGCTCTGCCTCGCACCACGTACAACCTCTACAAAACAATCGGAATAATAACTTTAAAAAAGGACCATAGTCTCACGTGACGTTTATAACGCACATTTCAACTTTCGGAAAGCTTCTTTAAAATAGAATGTCCGATTAGAAATAGTACATAAAATATAAGCTAATAAATGAAAAACAAAAAGATGTGTAACAAAAAAAATGCATTCATTATTTGGACAAAATGTTAGAAGAAAATCAGGCTGAAATGTACGGAATGTACACTCTCTATCGATTTGTGGTCGCAGAGTTCATGGAAAGGGCATAAATAACGTCAAATTGTTTTTCATGGGCCAAACGAAACTCTATAAAACTTCAAAGTTGACAAAAAAAATAAAAAAAAACCTAATACGGAGAACACAGACAATTGCCGTCTCCAGCGATTCTGAGTATAACCCAGTTACTGAATTGCCATGATGACGAAAAGTTTGTAGAGACCGCCAACAACACCTACCAACCAACCAACACCGCCCTTTAACAAACAATACACGTGGCCGAGAAGCGCTGGCGACTGATGACCGACAACGACATTACCTTAGCTCACAGTCTGGCTGGTTTGATCCGAGCTCTGGGTGACAATCAACTCTTTCATCTTCGGGGATAAGCGACGAGCATTGTTGATGTGACAATTTGAAACGACTGGTTACCATCAAAATGGTAATAAACATAAATTTTGGCAACATGCTGATTCTAGCAGCTTCACGGAGTAAGTGTGAGAAATCTGACAGATACTGCATATTATACACAACTTATCAAGGCGCCGATCAGTCTGATTAATATATCTATTATTTTTCTATCGCAACAGGACGACGTTCCAATTATCATTCTAAATAGTTCACTGTAAACAGTCATACCTGTAATCAATGTGGAGATTGGAAAAGGTGTGACTAACGTTTATCCAAACTAAGATTGTCGATGGATACACTTGAAATTGGAGGATATAAACGGTCGGATTTGTATTCATATTGGGATTGTGAATAGCTACACACATATATTCATATGAAGATTGTAAACAGTTAGTATAAAGAAATTGTTGACAATCACACCTATATTCCTGGAAAGATAGTAAACAGCCACACATATACGGAGATTCTGAAGAGTCACTCATGTCCATATATGGAAATTGGTAATGACCACATGTGTATTCTTGTGCAGATTGTATACTGGCACACATGCATCCACATAGACTATAAACATGCACATATATTGAGATTTTCATCAACCACGCCCGCATTAGCACACATGCACCCATATGAAGATTGTAAAAAGTCACACAAGTCTCCATGTGAAGATTGTAAACGGTCACACAAGTCTCCATGTGGAGATTGTTAACAGTCACACAAGTCTTCATGTGAATATTGTAAACAGTCACACAAGTCTCCATGTGGAGATTGTTAACAGTCACACAGGTCTCCATGTGGAGATTGTTAACAGTCACACAAGTCTCCATGTGGAGATTGTTAACAGTCACACAAGTCTCCATGTGGAGATTGTTAACAGTCACACAAGTCTCCATGTGGAGATTGTTAACAGTCACACAGGTCGCCATGTGGAGATTTTAAAAAGTCACACAAGTCTCCATGTGGAGATTGTTAACAGCTACACAAGTCTCCATGTGGAGATTGTTAACAGTCACACAAGTCTCCATGTGGAGATAGTTAACAGTCACAAAAGTCTCCATGTGGAGATTTTAAACAGTCACACAAGTCTCCATGTGGAGATTGTTAACAGTCACACAAGTCTCCATGTGGAGATTGTTAACAGCTACACATGCATCCATACATAAATTGCAAACAGCCGCACATGTCTCTATATGCTGATTGCCAACAATCACATTTGTGTTCATATGAAAAAAATATCAGTCACACACGTCGCTAAATGGAGATTTTTTACGATCACGCTTGTATTCATATGAAGGTTATGAACAGCCACACATGCAACCACATACAGATTGTAACCAGTCGCACATGTCTCTGTACGGAGTTTGCCGTAGATCAGACGTGTATTCATAATAAGATTGTAACCAGTCGCACATGAAGAGTGTTAACATGATTTTACTATAATAGGGTGTGAATGTTGTGTCTACAGCGCGCATTAAAATTTGCATATAGCATTAGCGGGTAACAAAGATTGTGATAAAGGAAAGAGTGGTATAAACAAAGATCAGTGATTCCTTGAAATCGATACCAGGATGGGGGGGGGGGTAAAAGAAAAGTTATATAACATTTCATTATTTAATAATTTATTAAAATACATAAGTTTGTCCAACTCCCTGTGCTCAAACCCTGCAAATAGAAGTGTGCATGGAATCATGGGAAGAAACGGTGTGCATTGCCATGTGATAACTGTCATAAAGGTGATTGACAGGTTACACTTATTTACAATTCCGAAAGTACAATTGGAATCTACCAGGTGTGCTTGTGATTTACATAACAAAGGATGTTATCGATCTACTGAGTTGCCTACGTGAGACACCTGTGCAAGCAAGATTCCTGTATTTCTTCGTCATTGTGTTGCAGAAGCCATTGACTGTCATCCATTTCGACATCCTGGAACTGTGAGTCATCACCAATGCACACTTCCCTAGGCAATCCGCTATTTTTATTTATTCATTGTATTTTTCTGTGCTTGTTTCTTGTACTTATGTTGAAAGGTATTAAAGCCAAGAGCTTTAACTTGATATTTTGATGTATGTGTATCTCATTTCCAGTACTATTGTCTTGTCTACCCCATACTAGCAGAGAAAGAACCCCCTGTCCAGTGTGAATTCTGTGGGTGCCCCTCTCAATAGCAATAAGCAGGCTTTACACTGTGACAGTTACCGATCACACTTCTATTTATACGGAGATTGCAAGTAGCCGCACACACATCCTTATGTAGAATATGCTATACATGTCTTCATATGAATATTGTTTTTTATGTGGCAAACTAAAGCCCATAAAGCTTTAAAGAACGTGACGTCACTAATCAGATACCAATCAGAACGAATTTGAATAATGAATGCCCGAATACAGAGAATTGACGGTTGTAAAGTTACTCTGTTGTCATGAGAAAAGTGTACAAAATCTGACTGATACTGCAAATTGCAAATAGTTTGTCGAGTCATCAATCAGTAACCAATCAAAATCCATGCGGTACAGTCTGATTAGAATAACAATTATTTTTCTGTCGCAATGTATAGGGCGACGTTCCAATTATCATTCTAAATAGGTCATATCCGTGAAAACTGTAAACAGTCCTACGGGTATCAATGTGGAAATGTCTGACTAACGTTTATCCAAACGAAGATTGCCAATAGATGCACTGTATCAAAATTGAGAATGAAAATGCATGTAAACAGATCACATACATCCATATGAAAATTATAAACACTCACTTTTGTATTCGTATTGAGATTGTGGACAGTCGCACATCCACCAATCTGGAGATTGTACACAGCCAAACATGAATGTATATGAGGATTGTAAACAGTCACGTTTCTGTATGGGGATTGTTAACGATCATACTTATATTAATATGAAGATTACAGACAGTCACACACGGTTTTATATGGACAGTCAGACTTATACTCGTATGACAATTGTCAACAGCCATGTATGCATCTATATGATGGCAAACAAACACAAACACATACTTTTTCATGTGAAGACTTTTAGAGATCACATCTGTATTCACATGGAGATTGTAAACATTTACATATTAATGAACATTGATATTATAATCAATCACACACGTATGTATATATAGACACACATCAACCACACGAATACTGTAATCAGCCACACGCGTCTCTATGTGTAGATTGTTAACGACCCCACTTGTATTCACATGAAGAATTAGATAACCACTTGAAGTTTGTACTTAGCCAACTAAAACCCTATAAAGCTTGAAGTCACTAATCAGAGACCAATCACAAAACGAATTTGAATAATACAGAGAATTGCCATTTCGGGCGACTCCAACGATGAACACCTAAATTGCCATGACAAGAAGTGACAGAAATCTGACAGACACTGTACATTGCACTCAGCTTATCAAGTCAACAATCAGTGACTAATCAAAACCCATGTGTCACAGTCTGATTAGAATATCAATTATTAGGACGACGTTCCAATTATCACTCTAAATAGGTCATACACATGATGATTGTAAACAGTCAAACCTGTATCAATGTGCAGACTGAAAAAGTTCTGAGCAACGTGTATCCAAACTAAGATTACCAATGGTCACACTTTTATTAAAATTGGAGAAAATATACGGTCACATTTATATTCATATTGGGATTGCTACACATACATTCATATTGTTACAGTTACACACACGTCTCTATATGAGGATTGTTAATGACCACACCTGCACCCACATGGTTATTGTACACAGCCACACACTTATATACGAGCTTGTTAACGATCACACCTGTACTCATAATGAGAATGTAAACATTTACACATGAATTAACATTGAGATTGGGATCAGTCGACCACGTCTCTAAATGGAGATTGTCAACACTCACACTTGCATTTGAATAGATTGTCAACAGTCACACTCACACTTGCCACACGCAATTCACATAAAGATTGTAATCAACCACACGCCTTTCTATGTGGAGCTTGGTAACGCTCACATTCGTGTTTATTTGGAGATTGTAAACATCCACACATGAATGCATATGAAGATTGTAATCAGTCACACGTCTCCATATAAAGATTGTTAACTTTCATACTTGCATTTGCATAGAAAGCTATGCATCACCCACAGTCAGATTGTAATCTCTATGTGGAGACTGTTAACGATCACACTTAGTTTAGTATGGAGATTGTAAACAATCACATGCGTCTTTATATAGATATTGTTATACGTATGTAAATGTAGCCTGGACTCACCCGGCACGAGTCCATACACAAAATAAATACAGTTTCCGAACTAGTTGACCACGCAATTTCCACTGGGCTCGCGGAATTCGTAGTTGGTATACCTACGCAGTACAAGT